TCTCTCTCTCTCTCTCTCTCTCTCTCTCTCACACACACACACACACACACACACACACACACACACACACACACACACAAACACACACACGCACGTACAACTATCAAACGGGCAGTACGTGGCTCGTTTCCTATATTTTGGCCGCTTTGTCCAGCCAGCGGTTATGGCGACGCTCTATGAGCGTCTCCTGCAGCAATCCGCTCCGAGTCCGAGACGGCGGGGCGACGAAGCGCAGCCGGTCGTCGTCCTCTTTGGTGACATGACTCGGAGGATGGAAACGACAAAACATTACATCAATTCGATCGGCATCGTCCGAGAAGACACGTTACACCCGCACGACACGACGACGCAAAGATAGCACCCAACGTGCATTGTCTTTGCTATAGTTACAACCCCTCCCTTCGCTGTCTTGTCTCCCTACCTCCCTGCCTCCGTGCCTCTCCCCTCTGTAATCACCATCAACCTCTCCTCCTCCTCCTCCTCCTCCTCCTCCTCCTCCCCCCTACTGCACTCCGTGTCCCTTTCGCTGAACCGCTCTTCGAAATGCAGCTGTCCGCATGCGTCTCACATGGAAATACTCGAAATGTCGTTGAGAAGCGAATGTCGGTGTGTCTGTCTGTGTGTGAAAGTGTGTGCGTGTGGACTCAGCGTTCGGTCTCCTACTCCTCGCTTCCCAACTCCTCCCTCCGCTTACGTCGAATCCTCTCCTCCACTAACGTCTCCACCGCTCGGGCGGTTTCGCAAACGACAAGGGACGTGAATTTCTGTCGATGTCAACGCGCCTTTTGTCCCTTGTACCCACGGTGAAACGCAACACTTGCTGCTGTGTTTTTTTTTCGCCCTTTTTCTTTTCTTTTCTTTTTTGTTTTTTTTTTGCAGCCCTTCTCACTACACCCCACCCGCCTTTTTTTTTTTTTCACCCCACCCGCTTCCACTCTACCCTCTATCTCCGTCGGCAGGTGTGTTCGTGTTTGCGCGCCCAGGGCGTGGTCCCACAGCACAGAGGATTATGTTTAACCCCCGAATTTAGACTCGCTTAAGGACAGATGAGTGATCAGCTTTTCTGCATCTACGCCAAGAACCTATCCAGATTCAGGTTTCTAGTTCGATCCACGTTGCCGGCGGGACCTAGCCCCCGAGCTCGAACCTCCCTTCATGCCTGTCGCCCGCCTAACAGCTACTTTTCTTTTTCTTTTTTTTTCTTTTTCTTTGTGTTCGTCTTTTTCTATTTGCGATCCGGATCCCTTGGCGCGAACGGCCAACACTGACACATTCAGCGAATCACCGAGCATCTGTTCAAGTAGAAAGCACGCTGGGCGCTTTACACTCTAGAACTTTTCGGAATGTACCTGACTGCATTTACGGCAAGACCATGCATCTGACGGTAATTACGTCCGGAGCTCAGTCTACTATCTCTGTCTCGCACACGTCGCTTGCATGAACTGCGCCGCCGCTGCTGGAGGGGTATAGACACTACATCCGCCGACACACGATCTTCGATACAACAAACAAAAAAAAAAAAAAGACAAATCTTCCTCGTGGAGTCGTTAATTTTTCAATATTTTTGTCTTTGCTCCAGTAAATTCATTCCGTTTGCTTCCTTCCCCTTCGTCTCCTCTATTTCATTCATGGCCCCCACCCTTCCTACCATCTTGAGCGAGGTGGCCCCTTGCACGCATTTAGAGAGAGAGAGATAATGACCGTAGATAACGACGATCGACGGCCCGTGTGTAGGAGTTCCTGCAAAACTAGGACCTCGCCCCGCCCGTTTACCTTCCGTTTAGCCCTCGCTTCTCCCATTTGCTAACCAAGGCAACCCCTTTATCTTTTCCCTACCCTTTTTCTTTCTTTTCGCGAGGTGGAGGGGGTTGGCGGGGGGCGGGGGAGGTGGGGGGGGGCGCGCCCGGGAGGAGCAAACTCTCCTTCCTGGAAACCAGTCACAGAGGATTTATCAGAGCATATGCCTACCCTTTCCGTTACCCTTTCGATTACCATTCCCGTTACCCCTCCCGGGGCAAGGTCCCACTTGCGCAAATTAGGAGATGCGGCCGTTGATCTTTGCTATCTACGGTCAGTATCTCTTAATTCGTGCGAGTGGGACCTAGCCCCCGTTTAGCACCCTTCTTCCGACTCCCTAATCTGATCCCAGTGAACAAATCGCCGATCTCTGAACCAGTAATCGGGGAGCGAAGTCCCACCGGCAGCGTTGAGTTTCCTCAACGCCCGAATCTCAACGTGGAGAACTGCGGTTGACGAACTGAACGTGATTTTCTGCACATCTTCACAAACACGTCCAGATTCGGGCGTTCAGGAAACTCAACGGGGCTAGTGGAACTCGGGCCCGGTTGATTGGGCTCTCGCGCCGACTACGGTATAACCCTCCATATCATGTCATACCATAGCTACCCGTCATCACCCGAACAGAATGCCCGGTCATAGCTGAATTGGGGCCATCTGGCTGTCTAGATAACAGCGATCAGAGCTATATATTACCGTTACTTATGATATTATTATTTATTTATTTTTTTAATGATATTATTGATTATCGTACCTACATATTGTACCAGTATCAGCATTCTTATCATATGATATCTTCGGTCTGTTTTCCGCTTGTCTCCGCCCTGGCCCACGTCCCTACTCTTCGCCCCTCCCGGCCCCTCGCCTCCCTGCTAGCTGGCCAAGGGAGTATTTCAGGGCTGGGACTGGTTTCGCGGACATGAGAACCAGGCCGCCAGCCAAACGGCAGGCTGACAGCTTCACAGCCTGGCTGACAGACTCACTGACAAACAGGGCGGCAGGCAGGCACACATCTTTTCCTGCTTTTTTTTTCCCCACACAGAGCACTGAGCGTGCATTGTGCGCATGCCAGCGACCGAACAGAAAGGAAAAAAGAGACGGGAGACGGCAGGGTCCTCAGCTTCACAAAACCGCAGTGCAATCTGCAGAGCCTGCCACCGTCGCTGCAAGCCTGCTATTGCCCACAGGAGGGGCGGATTTCACTGCGGTCAAGCTCGCTGCAGTAATATATCGACCTGGGACGAGGTCCCACTCACCCGTATTTTCTGTGTACCGGCCGTCGATGTTCAAAATCTGATGGAGAGAAATGAGTTCATGTAGCTGAAATCTCGCGGCAGACCTCTGATTAACGTTTTCGTTTTTTTTGTTTTTTTGGGGATGAAATTTTGAAAAATACCCCCATAAGTTGAGGGCTATAACAAAAGGGCCCTGAAAGATGTGGGTACTCTAAGAGAGGAATGCCCTTTTGGGCCAAAATCTTTGTGTTGTGCCCCTGTCAGGCGGGTGTGAAACTTTGCAATCTGGGCCTCCTCGTTGGGGCCTTGGCCTTTTGCAATAGCGCCTAGGAAAAGTTTGCAAGTACCGGGGCATTTTGCAAAGCCACTCGGTAGGGGTACATTGCAAAGATGGGTGTCCCACCAATGCTAGGGGTATTTCACAAAATATTTTTTTTGTCAGAGGGGCATTCCGCTCTACCCACATCTTTTAGGGGTATGTAGGCATAGATCTCAACTTATGGGGGTATTTTGCAAATTATCCTCTTTTGTTTTTTAATGACTTAACCATATATTGCCAACAATCCTTGGAGGCCGGGGCCCTCACAGTCTACCCGAAGAAACATGGATCTGGGAGCATTACCCAGTTTTGCTTACGGGGCATCGCCCCGCAGGGACCAACCCCCAAGACAAACAAAGAGCAAACTGAGTCACAAAGCGAAGGACGCTTTGCACTGAGAGGACAGCCTTTGGGCTGAACCTTCCTCGCGATGCCCCTAACCCAGGGCATGGAGCAAAGTCCAACAGAAAGGTGATGCTCACTCCTGACCCCACTTACCCCCAACTACTGCCCTCCTACCGCGGAGGAAGAACCGACCGCCTAGGTATTTATGCCTCACTCGGTAACCATTCATCCAAGACCAATTTCTCATTCACGACTTTGCCCAATCGTTCCTGAATTGCCCAGGTTTCTGAAAACACCCCAGAGCAGTGGCTTTATGTCCACCGCATGCCACTTTCCGTCTCCAGTTCACGCCGGATGTGAAGCTCGACAGAAGATTTAATGGTCTTGTCTGAGATGAACCAGCCCTCAAACACATTCCTGTTTCTGACTTCCCGTACCACCAAAAACAGACAGGCTATGAGAGTCTGACCAGTGTATCCTCATCTTTTGTCCAGAGGCAGATCCTCCGACACTCCTCCGAATAGAATCCATCTGTCATCCCAGTTGAAGGTCGGACCACTGATCCGGTCCCATTGAATTTTCCACCATAACCAGATCCTTGAGGAGAGGGGACAGTACAAGCATAGGTGTGTGGTGGATTCATATGGCCACTGACACCTAGTGCACATGATATGAAGTCTCATACCTCGTTCAGCAAGCCACAC